GGAGGCCAGCGGTGAACAAGGGGCAAGGGACGATGTGGTTAGAACGACGAGCAAAATGGAGAAAGCAAAGAGAAAAGGGGAAGGAGGTACGGGGAGGCATCGTCACGTCAAAACGAGTTCATTAAAACCGCAACAGCGGGTTTGTCTAACCTCGAAAGAAATACTCGTGGCCGACATTGTTTCACGTTTCGTGAGGCGCATCGGTCCGTTGAAACTCGCGGTTCTTTACTTGAGTACATGTGTTGCAAGTGCGCGTACTAGTCATAGAATACGCGCGTTAAGAATGCACGTGTCACTACGTGTGCATTGTATAAAATGGTGGTTGGGCGGTACGATACGCGTATCGGCCGAAAAATATGTTGCTAGTCGAACACTCGCGAGCTTGCCTCCTTCTCGCAGTCTGTCTTATTGGCAAGCGTGTGGCTGGCGTGCCGGCGCAAATAAATCTCTTTCTAATTGCTCGGTGAAAAAGCGGAGCGTGCTTGCGCGCAGGAGATGGCGCCCGACAAAGGGGCCAGAACTAAAACCTCATCGCGGCGTGGTTTATTTCATTGTCGGGGCTGGGCTCCGGGCATTTGCCCACTGCCACTGGCTTTGTTTATTGATATTTACAGCCAGCGTGACACACGCGGCATACGAAGAAGAACATTGGAGGCCCCTAAAGGCTGACAACGTCGGGGTTGTTCGCTTTTGTCCATGAGATATTCGCTCGCGAGTTACGTCCGCCTTTTTTTGTTCGAAGACCACGGTATGTTGTTGTCATAGCATGACGCAGGTGTAGATTCTTCGACGCGAAGGGATGGTACGTTGGGTCGCACGGGAGAAAACTTGTTGGCTATTTAGAAGAGTTGTTTTATAGATGGAAAACAGTGGGAACGTTCGCGGCTTGTCGCGTAACGAAACTGTCTAGAGGCGATTTCTCCTATCGCGAATAAAGTATCGGTTCTCGAAAAGAAATTTTCCGTTTAGACATCGATTGTCGTAATCAGTCTAGCCGCGTCATGGCGGGACAGACGGCAGCAGGAATTCTCGCAAAAAATGCACTGACCACAGCTCGAAATGTATGCAAATTCGCGTGACGAGTCAGCACCGCCTCGCGACGGAATACATAAGGGGTAGAGGAAAAACGAAAGGACGAAAGAGGGAGAAGAAGAAGAAGAAGAAGAGGAGGAGGAACAAGCAGGAGAAGAATATACGAACAAGGAGAAGAGTATGAAAAATACGAAGAAGTAGAGGCAGCGTGTGCGAAGCGGGTATAACGCCGATGGCCACTAGAACGGCACGGTGGCACGCTGTTATCTCTTTTCCTCCAGCATCCTGGAGAATGTATAAACACGCGTACACTCCTGGTCTTCTATGTGTGAGTGGTTCTACGCAGCCACGTCGAATGGCCGCCCCGCGCGAGTGCAAAAATTACTCCTGTCAGCCGGTGGTCGCGCGCGAACCTCCGCCAAGGGATAAACAAAGAGGGAACAAGATAGGATGACCTCGTTGCTGGCGTCGTTGATATTGCTGGGACCAGCAACGGCTTCCGACATCGCCCAAGGCGAAACAGCGAGGCACTCTGGTAACAGCCCCCGCCTGTCGATATCGCCGATGCATACTCAATGAGCGACAGATCGTCGCCGTAGGGTGAAGGGGGCGTGAGGTATATAGAGGGAAGAAGGAACAGGGGTACAGCGGCGGG